GCGTGGAAAAATTCCTTTCGATGTTTTGCGCAGAGCTCGGTGTTTATACTTTTTCCAAGGAGGCTGCAAGGTTTATCTTCATCCCATACGCGCTGTTTTGCAATTCACTTCCAAGAGTATCTGGGGAAGGGGTGTTGCGTTCCCAGCGCTGGCAGCAGAGCTGCTCCTGGAGGCAGCAGTGCCCTGGCAGCGACCGCCGTCCGTGGTTTTACAGCTGCGGTCGGTGCCGGTGCACGGGGTGGGCACGGGGGGATCCTGGGGAGCTACAGCATCCTGTGAGCAGGGCTGTGGGTGCGGGGCTGTAACCCGTGCTCACTCTGCACGTTTTGGATTCCTGACTAAATTGCTTCCCACGGCCCTTGCTCCCCAGCCGGATCCCTGCAGAGGCCGGGACAGGCCGGGACCCCCGTGCAGATCAGCGGCTCCCTCCGGCGTCCCACGGCTGCGGGCCGGCCTCTGCACTTCCAGCTCGCTCCCGGAGCTGCCATGGACGAGGCAACGAGGCCAGACTTCTATGAGGCTTCACCGGCGCTGCTGGTCAGGGGAGGGGAGAGCCGAACCCCCTCCGTGTGCAGCTCGGTGATCCTGGATGCCAAAGACCCCCCGGTGAAGAGCGAGGCGGCTCCAAAGCCGCCCGCGTCAGCCCCGCCGTCCATCCTGGTGAAACCAGAAACCTCCCGCAACAGCGCCGAAAAGGTACGGCCAGAACCCCCCAGAGCATCCCCTTGGAACCAGCAGTCACAGCCAAAACCAACCAGGGTCAAATCCCCCGAGGGCTTTGCTCCATCCTCACCAGCTTTTCTTCCAGTAGAAGTCACTGGGATTGACACACGCATTAGGAGATGGGGGATTTGTGCTGCTGACGCAGCTGTTCACATTAAGCCCTGAAGAAAGGCAGGACGCTGCATGGGCTCTGTCCCTGTCACCAAGTTCAAAATCCCGAGACTTTGCCGAGGTCATAAATGGGGCAAAAATCTATGAGCTGGGGAGCAAATGCCACAGAACTAGTGTCAGGCGGAGCTTTGCAGAACTTCCCCATCCCCCTGATGTCGCCTGGGCTAAGCCAATTGAAATGGGACTTTCCCCTCCGGCAGCCAGAGAGGAATTTCATAAAGGTAAAATCATTCTGAAAATTGCCCTAGTGACAGCTCTCCCTTCCCTCAGTACCCAAAGATGTGCCCAAATGGCTCCACACGCCCCCCAAAGCGCCGGCAATCTCAGAGCCCCCAGGCTGAGCATCAGCTGGGAGAGCCCCCGGCTCTGCGAGGGCAGCAGCTCCCCGGGCTCTGCTGCCTCCCGCTCTCAGACCAGCTCTCCTTGGTCCCCAGTAGCTGCCAGCTCTGCTCCGCGGGTCCCTGGGGCTCTCTTCATCAGCCTGGGCTCCTGTGCAGGCGCCCTGTACGGCGCAGGGAGCAGGGGGGAGGGCGGGCAGGGGCTGCCCTTCCCTCCTGACTCTGGCCCCTTCTCCCTGCAGCAAGTGAAGACCGTGAGGTTCCAGAACCACAGCCCGCCGCCGCCCAAGCGGCACAGCCTGCAGCCGTCGCCGAGGCTGGTCCGCAGCAGGACAGAGCCCGGGCCCGAGGGGCTCCTGCCCGAGCCCCGCCTGGGCCCCGAGCTGCTGCTGCTGTACTCGCCGCGCCTGGGCTCCAGCCCCCTGCACCCGCGCCGGGCGCTGCACCCCAAGGCGCTGTCCCTGGACCTCTCGGGGCAGCTGACCTTCCCCATCAAGAAGAGCTACAGCAGCATCTCTGCAAACTGAGCCTTCCTCCCCGCTCCTGCTCCTCTCCCTCGGCGCAGGGACCCCGCATCCTCCCGCCGCTGCTTGCAGAGCGCCGTGGGAAGCGCCCGGGGACCCCGCTGCCCCAGGGCAGCTGCTGCAGCTCGGGGAGATG